TTTTCATATAACTCTTACGAACCGATAATTGTAATTTGTGTCTAATTATTCTAAAACTTTTTATTTTATTCACTCAATTGAATTATGTATTTTCCTACGATGAAGAATTTATATAAGTACATTCTTTTTTATATATACCATAAATTTTCGTCTATTTTTTCTCTCGTAACCTCACTCCCTTTTACAATAGACACTCTTCTTCTAGTATTTCAGGTTTAGATGTAATACACATGTAAAAAAAGTATAGAAATAACTTTTTCTTTAGAGTAACGCCAGAATCATCACAAGAGATCACGCCGTGACAGATGAATATGTTCGTTCCTGTTTTATCTCCCCTTTCCTTCAAGCAAAAGAATCTCCTAGACTCGAAAATTTTCGTAACAGATCCCATCATAAATAATAAAAACACTTTCACTAAAACGTCAGTACATCGGAGATATAGGGTCGTGCCAACAAAAAAATGATCACCATAAAACTACCTGCTATTCATCTCCGTTGTTCGTATCTTGTCTCCCTCCCTACGACAAAAAAAATGTTGCGGTCTCAATCTCCACTCACCATGTTTTCGGACTTCACCCACCATTTTGTCGGAAGTCCTCTACCACTCCCTTCTCCAACCTCGTGGGAAGGTATGGAGCGAACCAATCAGAACGCATCATTTAATTACCCTATTACCTCCATCCTTCATCCACCGACCAATCAGAGTCCTCACTTTTTCAGACGGACCCGTCGAAACCACGCCCCTGGCGCCGGAGGTGGTGTGGAGGGGCTTGTTTTGACGCGCCAAACCTTCCCAATTACTACTCGCATTTTAACTTTCAAGTATTTCGAAACGTTTCTGAGGTATTTTAGCATTTAATTACACCTACTTCTCATTTTTTTTAAACTTGATTGTATTATCACATGAATACATGTATTTTTGAGTGTGTTAGCTGCCATTTAACATTTTATTTGACTGTATATATTTTGTTATGCAAATTTAAACAATAGCATGGCATTTTGCTAAGGTGGCTCTCTATTAATTGTTCACCTCTTTTTTGAGGTTTTCATATCAAAATAATTATTTAATTATCGATTGCAGCTCTATTGTTAATCTATACAATAAGAATCTCATTTTTAGACCGTACATGTGAGAACAATTGATAAACTAGAAGCCTATATACCGGTCGAAGCTAGATCTTTTAATGCTTTAAATAATTTTTAATATGAATTATATATGTTATAACTTGCATATATACTATATTTGTGGTCCTTCAAACTGTGCGCCGAATTTGGTTTTCCGGATTTATAAACGCAATTAAACTACTGGAATAATACAAATTAAATTAATTGACAATTTTGATGCACGTCATCATATTAGCAAGATGTTAATATGCTGAAAAACTATAAATAAATTTATTGCGAAAAATATTACCTCGGCTGGGTGTCGAACCCGGATCTCGTGTATTTCTTATGAGCGTTCTAAGCCATTAGCCTCGGTAGTCTAATTTTTAGCCAAAATGAATCTTCTTTTAAATCCCATTCAACTCCTTGCTTGTCTATTTTATTTACTAGGATAAGAGCAACAAATCACGCAAAATTCCAATAGTATTCTTGTAATATTTTCATAATGACACTCCTATTATATTCTTGCAAGATTCACGTTACATGCGTTCAAGATTCATGTAACATGAGTGTAAAAGTTATGTAACATGCTCATAAGATGTATGTAACATGGGTGTAAGATTAATACAAGATTCATGATTTATCTATAGGTATTGCATGCGATGTATTCTTATATGATCTTGTATGTTCCTGTCTGAAATTCATATGTGAAAATTTTCTTGGAAGATCTCACAAGAATTTTTCTTGTAAGAATTTGCAACAGGGCAAACGGACGCTCCCCTCTCTCCGCGCCAACGAATACCCCCCGCACATCCGCACTATCCTCAGATCCCTGGATCCCAGGCTTTAATCCAGTCCTATAATCTACATCGTTACTTTTCCTGTTGAAAAAAAAAACGTCACAAAGTTATGTAATGATATCATGTAATAGACAAATAAATCACGTAACAGATTGTTTCGAATAGTACGTGATTTTTTAAAAGTCACATGATATTAGAAATAATTTCATTCATCATGTGATTTTTTAGTTATCGAATTTTAAAAAATTGGAATATATAGAAGTAGAAGAACGGAAAACATATCATGTGTGACTTTCAATATTACGTAATTTTATAAAATTACATCATTTCATTATGTAACTTTATGACATAATTTTTAACACGCACGCACGCACGCACGCACGCACAATAAGGTTCTCTATAACCGTTATGAAGTACTAAAAGAAAGTAATAAAGAAAGTAAAAGTTTCACTTTATGTTGAATTGGTCTCTAAAACGTTTCTTATTATTAGTAATTTTTTCGCTGATTTAAAGTCTATTTGTCAAATTTACAAGGAGGGCGGGGTTTTCGAATGACATTTAAAACTTCCTTTATAGTATAGCATTATTGCTTATTATATGATATTTGGTTACACCAACAAAAAATAACAATTACACCAACAACAAAATTTGAAACAGGTTACAATTAACGCAAGAAAATGTTGCAAACATCTTTTATCAGATCCGTATAACAAATCAAACTAACAAAGACTCCTTATAAATCAAAAGAACTAGGAAAGAACATAGGCAATAGGAGTCAAGCGCAGAAGACTTTGCGCAAATAATACACCCATATATATATATATAAAGCGTAAAATTTCTTTATTTTACTAAACGCGCTTACATGTTTCGGTTCACTTTTAAGCCTTCTTCAGAGATAACACAAACTAACATATATAAAATGTGAATAAAAGTTATCTTGTCATGGCGAGTTCCCTTGGATCGAGAATATAAATGCCAGAAATTAAACCCAGGTAAGAATGAAAGAAAGAAAAGAGAAAGGAAATTTTGGAAATATCGAAATAGCGAAAATGGAAAACACTAATTTATCAAAAAACTTTAAAATTATAATTAATTATTAATAATTAATTATAATTAATTATCCCGAATATTAGGACGCTCACCATGATCACAAGGCACCATATC